TCGAAAGTCCTATATTGGAAATATAATTCAAAGTATCAAAATTCTTCCAAAATATTAACCAAACTATATTAAAAATGGGGTTAAATATATAATATAAAATATGCGCATCAGTTCCCACAAAAGAGAAAGAAAAAGAGTTTGAAGAAGAGGTGACACTACATTCTGGCTGTATGATTATTTTTTATATGTTTTTCTTCTAACTTCAGACTTCTGCCCATCCGTAAGAGGAGATTCCTACTGAGGGCAGAACCCAGAAGCTCAAAATTGGCCCTATTTGAATAAGTGGAGGTAGAACATTCTGCTGCTGCCCCAGAGCTTGTAGAGGCCTCCATTCATGTTGTATTTTTGGAGCAGTCTGAATGCTTCGGCAAGATTCTTGATGTGATCTGCTTATTGGGGATCTTTGACTAGCATGTCGTCTACGCAGGCCTCCATAGTCTTGCCGATCTGCTCCTTGAAAATTTTGTTCACCAGCATTTGGTAGGTGGCTCTGGCATTCTTTAGCCACAAAGGCATGACCTTGTAGCAATATGTACCCCTTTCGATGATGAAAGAGGTCTTTGTTTTGTCATGTTCATGCATCATGATCTGATTGTAGCAAGAGTAGGCATCCATGAAGGTTAACAGTTGATTGCTAGAAGTTGAATCTACAAGTAGATCAATTCTTGGTAGTGGAAAGTTGTCTTTAGGGCATTCCTTATTAAGGTCGGTGTAGTCGACGCGAACTCTCCACTTTCCTTAGTCTTTCTGTGCCACCAGAACAAGTTCGCCAGCCACTCTGCGTAGGAGACTTCTTCAATGAAACTAGCAGCTAGGAGCTTGTTGATCTCTGCTTCAATGATGGCAACTCGCTCGGGAGCTAAGTTGTGTCTCTTCTACGCTATTGCTCTACTGGCTGGGTTGATGTGAAGGCTGATAACTCATATATTTATACATTTATACCATCCATTTCTAGTCTATTTGTGATGTTTTTGAGTTAAACATGTTGCGTTTTACCCTATTTTGTGTTAGTATGCAGTTGCACCTACTTTAGGATCAAGTTGAAGGCAAAAGAAATCAAAACATGTCATTTTTGGAGCTGGCCACTATTCAAACGTGGAAAGAAATTTCGTGACCTGTTTTGAAGTCCAAATAAAGATCCAAAGTGAACCTGGCTTGTTTAAAGACTAAGAGCGAAATGGGAAAGTAATGGGGATTTCTAGCCTGATTTGGAGGTGCCAAATAAGGCAAAAACGTGCAAAATAAAGGCTGATTTATTAGGATCTCTTTGGAATATCTGACAGCCTCTTTTACCCCATAAAAACTTGCCTTTTAGCCACTTTCACAGACCCTATTTATTTTGGACGAATTTCACAACCCTAGACATCCTTCTTTTTGTTATCCTCCCCTTTCGACTCATCGCAGTAGGTTGTTCTTGGAGAAGTTCAACATCAGAATTGGTTCAAGGGTTTCCTCTCATGAATTTATTTTCACTCATGTTGTTTATTTTCGTTTTAATCTTTGTGAACATGATGTGTAACTAAATTCATAGCTAGGGATTTCGATGTAGCCTTGCAACATTGATCCATGTTTCTAAGTTAGAGTATTCAGTTCATCAATCTGTTTCTTGTTTCATTCACTGAATCTATTGTTAAATTTGTTTGTCAATTTTAATGTTTGATCACTATTAGGGTTGCCTACAGATTATCTAGTCAAGGTTATTGTAAACATCATGCTTAATCTTGGTAGACATGTGAATGAATGAAGAGAATGCTATGCAAACATCCTGCCATGTGTTTTCTTTGGTTCTTTAACGTTTTCTTGCATGGTAATGACTCTTAACTTGGAACCAAAGTTGAACATCCCGATTAGGTTGCATATTAGGAGAATTTGATCAAAACCACACATCATATGGCTGATCATATATATGTAAAACGAACTCTGGAAACAGGTTGGTAGTTGAATACGGTTTAATTTTATAAACATGGAATTGGTTTTGCAATGGTGAATTCGAAATCCCTGGTCTCATCCCTATTCTTCTTACATCAATATCTCATTCGCTGCTACATTCGTCTTGCATTTTAAGTTATCTTTCATTTACAACACAAACTACTCTCAATTTGTTACTTTCACTTTTAGTTAGGGTTCTTTCAAAACTAGTAATTTATAGAGGTCCAATCGGTCCCTGTGGTTCGACACCCTTACTTGGACCATTATACTAACCATTTATTGGCACTTGGACGGAACACAACAAAATTTTGGCGCCGTTGCCGGGGACTGATTTCAGTCCTCTGTGATTGCTTGTTCTCAAACCCTAATTTCGTTTTATTTTTGTTTTACAGGTAGTATATGTCAGATACACTTGCTGAAATAGGCCAAAGACTTGAACGGTTAAAGAGCAACACTTTTGAGAATTCTGTATCAGCTAGTGCCCAGACTAGCCGTATAGAAGAGGACAAT